ACTCTATTTAATTAATCTGAGGTCAGTTGAATCCATGTCGGAACAAATAGTTTAATGGAAAATAATGAGAGCATGAGCTCATGGTCTGTCCATTTCCAACAACACAGGGATGAATAGAGCAATACAACAAAAATAAGAAACAACAATTTGACCTTTTTTCAGACCACTGCACTATACTCAATCAGCATGACAACATCTTCAATACAATATGCCTTAGTTGATCAAGTGTAAGGATAATGAAAGGATTTTTAAATATGAATTTAGTACTGTATGATATTGTAGCCTCGGCTGGGTCAGTTGGCATTTCTGTGTGGAGTTTGCATGTTCTCCCTGTGTTCACGTGGGTTTCCTCTGAGTGCTCCGGTTTCCCACACAAGTCCAAAGATATGTGGTCTGGGTGATTTGGGTAAGCTAAATTGCCCGTAAAGTATGTGTGTGATTGAGTGTGTATGGTGTTTCCCAGTGTCGGGTTGCTGCTGGAAAGGCAACCGCTGCACAAAACAGATGCTGGATAAGTTGGCGGTACATTCCGCTGTGGTGACCCCAGATTAATAAAGGGAATAAACCGAAAACCCGTAATTAATTCCTCACCTTCATGTCATTCCATACCTCTGAGACATTCATTCGTCTTTGGAACACATATTAATATATTTTAGGTGAAATCTGAGAGCTCCCTCATCCTCCATAGACAGCAGGGGTTCTAAAAGTCCATAAAATACCAAAAACCATCCTCAAATCAAACCATATGCCTTCAGGAGTTTAATCAGAATATTATCAAACTACGAGAATACTTTTGTGTGCATGTAAAACTAATATAAAGACTTTATTCAACAGTTTCTTCTCCAGTGTGCCAAATTGCACACTTTCACGAGAAAATTAATTGATTCATGAAATTGAAGGATGAACTGAAATGGAATGATTTTGAACAAAATCCAGCTGAAATAACGTTTTTTTTTTTTTTACTTCATTTCGGCAATTCAAAACAGCTCACCAAAGCAAACCATTGGTTCATGATGATTACACAATCGGTGGGTGTTTTCTGGAACTCAACTTTCTATGGCCCCATTTATACTGACAGTTAAATGTGACCCAATTCCGATTTTTTTTGCTCATATTTGACACAGATCAGATCTGTTCTATAAACGTGTAAATACGAAAAAAGAATGCATGCATTCGGATATTCAGAGATCGGTTTCAAGCCTCTTGCATATGTGGAAATAAATCAGACATAAATTGAATATGAGACGATACGACTATTATGTAAACAGGCAGATCGGATTTATTGAGGCATTCCATTTTGTACGTCATTAAACTTGCAACAATGGTACTTCTTTGCAGGTTAATGACATAGAAGGAAGAGCAGGTGTGGAGACACTGTTGCAGTAAAAAAACAACAACAGGAAACATGAAGGAAAGTGGTCAGTCGCCACAAATTGCTCCCACCAGACCTGAGATCTCTCTAAATCAAGCTAAAACCAAGATAATTTCTTTCATCGTGGTTAGTGTGGCGCAGATGCTAGAACCCTCCTTTACGCTTGTGCAACATCATAAATTTCATGGCAAGTGTAAACACATGAATCAGATATGGGTCACAATTAAAAGAATGTGTAAACGGACAGGCAAGAAAATCAGATATAGGCAATAAATCGGAATTGGGCATCAAGACCTGACAGTGTAAAAGGGGAATATGAAGTTCGATTTCTTTCCCCGTTTTGTTTATCATCATTCAGCCGTTTCAAACTCAACAAAAAAAAAAAAAAAAAAAAGAAAATATATATTTTTAAGTATACCAGGGTCTTTATTCATGTTTCTCCCTTCTGACATATACCGCACCTTGGACTTGACTGTTTGAAACAGAGGATGTCATGTGTACACAACATCCAGTGTACACATTACTTCACAGTCCACATGCATGTCTTATACTGACACCGAGGAGAGAAAACTGTTGAATAAAGTTTTTAATTTTGCTTTGTGCAGACACAAATGTAGTATTGTAGCTTCATATGATTCCAATTAAAGGCATAGGATCTGTTTTAAGGATGTTTTTTGATCCCTTTCTTAACTTTGAATGATTTGGACCATTGCTGTGTACGGAGCATCAAGCAGCTCTTAGATTACATCTAAAATATCTTAATTTGTGTTCCAAAGACGATTGTTCATATCAGGGGTTTGGAAGGACATGAGATTGACTAATTATTAACAGAATTTTCATTTTTGTGGGAACTAACCATTAAACGTCATTTGATACAGCATTTAACCAGGGTTCCTGCTTAGTCTCTTCATCCAACATTATCCCTTCTATAGAAACAAATGCTCTTCTCACCTAGAAGTCTCCATCTCTCCCGTTTCTACCATAACACTCTCTCCTCCTCTCTCAACTATAAACAGTCTAATTTCTCACATCTGGGTAAGGTTTTTCACTGATGTCAGGACTGCACATCTGGAAGAACACAAGCTATTGATTAAGGAACCATTTGATGAGTAATACCAAAGTAAGACCAGATTCATGGCCATTCAGGTTCCCCTTCTATCTGTCCTTTTTTCTATATTAGAAGTTGCAGTGTGCAGTGTTTGCATGATTAGGACAATTAGATAGTAAATACTTTTATCATATACAGTACACACCTATAACTGTTACCATACAGGTTTCTAATTCATTTTACTTTTTCAAGTCCCACCCTAAACTATTGCCATTGACTGAACTGTTGTTGCCATGTTGAGACACCCAAACAAACAAAGCAATGTGGAAAGTGCTACGCAGCCACACTTTTTGGGAAAGTCAATCAATTAAATTTCTTTTGACAGGAAATAACACACAGCAGCTATAAGTCCTTGAGCAAATGCTCTAGAATTAGACGGTGATGCAGTACTCACTATTACTGAGAAGTACTATTACTGGGTTTCTTCCACACTCAAATTACCCACATCTGCACATGTAGGGTCTTATGAAGGATAATATTTATCACAATTATACCTTATTGTTACAACTGCACAAATGTCCTTTCCACATTCCTGGAAATTTTGACAAATTTTTTGTAGTAAAAGACTTGTATACAATACAGTTCAGGCTTTAGGGTCAGGACATTACTATAAAAATACTTTTGAAGCTGGATTTAATCCTGATAATTTCTTAATAATTAAAATAACGTTTGAGATGATGTGTGGAGAGATATCTTGGCTGCATCTCAAAGTTCTAAAACGCTTCCTTCGAAGGCAGCATTCTAAGGTAGGAATGTTGCAAGGCACTTCAGAATCCAAACTCTGCTTCACTTCCTGTCTCAGTAGTTCTCTTTATCTGACTGAAATTCAAGGGCAGCATAGACATGTCCTTTGCAGCTTTCAAAATCCCACAATACTAAAAGCTAAAAACCTAAATGTAGGTTTTTGACCAGTGTTTTTCATTTCGATGCCATTTCTAGAGAGAAGTCCAGAGAGTAAATTCAACATAAAAAAATAAAATAAAAAAAATCATTGGTTGTCCTCTGCCTTTCTTTGAAGGAACTTTACATCGCACACAGTCTCAAAAAGGAAGCAAAATCTTAAAGGATCATTCTCATGCTGGAAATCATCAGTTTTAACTTCTGCCCTCTGGTAAACATCTTAGGTCCATCAAATCATGGACAAATAGATTCAAGTACAGCCTTTGACCAAGTGTCATTTGTGAACTAAAATTGGAACACACTCAAATTGGAAATTGAGATACTATCTATTGAGCAATATTTATTAATTATTATTTTTATATTTATTATCATTACGTTCACTATTCTGAAATCTTAATTCTTAAAGCCTTGTCTGTACTGAGTATTGTGTATTTTTGTCTCATGTTATATTGATGTACTTTATTGACATCTTCATCACAGATGTTACTCGTATTAATCACATGTACTGTAATTAGGGCTGTGCGATTTGGGGAAAATATCTAATTGCGATCATTTTGATTTTGATTTAATTTGCAATTTAATTTTGTAGTCAAGCTTCAGCTCAATAATCTGTATCATAGCTTCTTACCGCTAAAATGCTGTGAGTGCTATTTAAAGAAAGGAACTAAAAGGATACTAACTTACTTAAACATTTATTCAAATTTGTTTTTAAATATTCAGAAATTCAACACTCATTTTTCTCTAGAGCAAACAGTAAACACAAATAAAACAACCTTACCTTTCTGTAAACAAGTTAAACTCACATTAGGGAGATAGTTTAGCTTATTATTCAAACAAAAAATAACAATTATGAAAAAACACAGAACACTCCGCAAACTAATATGGCTGATATGAGCTTTTTTTGTAGTTTATATTTTCTAAAACAAAATAATTATTACAGATGCTACACAAAATATCATGTTAAATGTACAGCTGGGGTACTAAAATGGCTAAAATAGGTGAGAGACGGAAGCGAGAATCTCCTATCCTGAATTTAGATTAGTTTTTTTTATAATCCCTCTTTGGTCACTGAGGCTGCGCCCTGGCTTTATTCATAACGTACATAGAGCGCACGTGGTCGCGACATGCAGAGCGGAGAGCGGAAAAAGTGTGCACAGCCATATACATTTAAAACTATTCCATAAGCTTGCATATTGTCAGCGGCCTCCACGCACATTATAGCACTACACAATATCATTATGTTATATACTCAATGGCCTAGGTAGGTCTACAGTTACATTCCTGAATGATGTTTGGAATTAAGCAGTTACTCCTTCTAGTGCACAATGATAAATACTGAAGATGCAAACAATCAGGTCGTCTGCTTTGATCACTATGAACCTCACAATGACGCCACCATCCAATAAAAAAATACTGCAGATTTACACACCATTAAGCTTAGAAAAAAAAGATATCCGGAAGAATACAGAAAAAATGATGTCCCAGTGTACATCAAGAATGTTAAGCATATTTGACAATAAACCTGACTTGACAATCAGCTGCCTAAACTTTCAGACACAGCCATTGTTTATTTTAATTTTTTTTTAGCAAAAGTTATGAATTCTGGCAATAGAGACTTACATCATCGTCAGGCGTGGAATTTTGCAGTGTCATGGTGACCACAGGAGATGTTGTTACCGGAGCAACAAGAGAGATGGGTCTGTCCTGTGCCAGTGCAGGCATAGTGACTACACGCGTGGGCATTGACTGAGGCGTCTGAAGCTGGAGAACCTGAGTGGGCTGAGGAAGCTGCATTAGCTGACCTGCAATAGACACATACAGCACTTTACCATTTAAATAAAGAAAAAGAAGGTCCAGTTCGTTTCCTTTTTACTCATGTCCATTAAATCGCAAGACTTAAAAGTAAAGTTTTTACAGCACAGACTGGTTTAATAACCCCAATGAGAGTGAAACGTTGTTTTAATCACAAAGGAAACAGTTGTGCAGAGCACCATCCTTCACCCAGGAGCAAAACAAGTCACCTCCAGGTAACACAGGCAAACATAATTTGTCAGGCATGACGGGTTGCTGTTAGTGTCGAGTTAAATGAGAGGAATTTGCAGCGGTCCCGGCAGGGGTCATTCAGAGCGACTTCCATCCTCTCAGCCACCCACTGACTTATCCATCAGTCTTCCGACAAACTAGAACTAACCTTGCATTGAAACTCTGTGGTGAGCCTGAAAATAATTACTGTGACACGAACACAATCAGTTCAAAGTGCATTTCCATTATGTTTCGCACTGATGGATTCGGCACGTATACAAGCAGCTCGTGGCTGTTTGTTTTCTCAAATGGTGGCTATTGAGAAAACGTGAAAAACATTGTGTTGCTTTGTGTGACGTGCTATTTATAAAACAAACTGCAACAACACGCAACCTCTCAGCCTAAAAAGCCTGTTACACTCAAAACTTGTCGAAAAATAAATGTGAATGCTTGGACATGCTGGAGTTGACTTTTTTTGTATGTATAATATTTCGGATAAGATGAATGGAGGAAAGGATTTGAATTCAGGCTGTTCTTGCCTTCTGCTCCACTTGTGTATCCAGGTGTGTGAGGTAAGTGTTTATTCTAGCTGAGGAAATGGATACTGAAGCTTGCTGATTTCTGACAGTCACAGATTAAACAGACACTCAAGACATTAAACAGAGTCGCCCACTGGGCTCTCTCATAATAAATTAGCGTTGACTAGAGTAAAAATGAATTAGCTAATTGAATCAAAGAGAAATGTTGTTTCCTAAAAACACTGAAGAATGTTTAGCTTCTCTTGATTTACAATTTTTATTAAAATCTGTACTTAGTCTTTTTTATATCTCTCTAATTTAAAAAAATAAATATGTTGTCACTAAGAGCATGTCAACTTGTCAAAATTACAAGAAAAAGTTAGCTTATTTATTATTATAATTTAAAGTTTATATTTTATTGATTATTTGTGCAATCAATCAACTTCCAAGGAATTAGAATTATTAAATTATTTGGTGGAAAAACTACTTTTAAAACAAAACAACTGGAAACATTTGTTATATTGGCCAACTGCTATATGTTAGAAATGCTAATAACAAATAAAAATGAATTATTTTTTAATTTAACCCTCTATCACAGTGGTCACCAAACTTGTTCCTGGAGGGCCGGTGTCCTGGAGATTTTAGCTTCAATCCTAATCAAACACCTGAACAAGCTAATCAAGGTCTTACTAGGTATAGTTGAAACACCTAGGCAGGTGCGTTGAGGCAAGTTGGAGTTAAATCCTGCAGTGACACCGGCCCTCCAGGACCGACATTGGTGACCCCTGCTCTATCGCATGGTGTAGCCATACGGCAACATGATATTTATGTTTTTTCCCTGGCACTGTTTCTTTTTTTTTTTATTAATGTTTTATTTATACATTATGAAACATTACAAAAATTTACAAAGACATAATCATGTAACAATATGCAAATATACTGAAGAGTATTTTGAGCAAATAGTAATAATAAAAATAAATAAACAGTAATAAATAAAAATATGATAATAAAAATAAATAGATAAATAAAATAAAAAACAACAACACTAGTGATAAAATAAAAAACAACAACACTAGTGTCTGGCACTGTTTCTTTAAGACATTCTATTGTTTTTGTTGGAAAAAGAGAAGACCGTAGCTTAGCCAATGATGTGCTTTGGATAAGTCACATGACATGCAAAGTTTTTCTGTGGCGCGATTTCTGACAGACTGGCGTTTATTGTGAGTAGTTGCTGAGTGCAAATGTAAACGTCAATAAAAACAAAGCATCAAATTATGTCAAATCCACAAGAACGTCTGAAATATCACCTCTAGTCAGTTTTGATGACATGTTCACAACTCAAAAAAGTTAATTAGATTATTTTTTTGTAAATCGATCAAATGTATGTACAAATGGCAACACTGTCCAATAGTGGAATGTGCAATATAGCAATGGGTTAGCTAGCTAGCAAGGTTAGCTGTGGTCTTTTAAGATGTAACAATAACAACAACATAAATGCTAGTGATATAATGTTGATTAGTCATATGGTAATGGCATTTGAATTATGGATAAAAGTCAAATTTTAACAGCAATACTTTTGATTAGATATAAATACAGGAAAAAGTGTATTAGCGAGCACAGTCATGTTCTATGGTAAGTGAAAGAAGAAAAGGACAAAACTGGCTCTTCCTGCAGATGAAATTGAGGATGATATGGGTTTTAGTGACCATGAGAATGGTGTAGATTGGACATTAGATAAGAGCAGTGATGCAGACAGTTCAGGTAAGTTAGCTCAGACGCATATACTATAAACTATACTACGCCTGTCTTATATAAACATTGTTAACAAGTAGCTACATTATTCTGATGTTGTATGCATAAGCAAAATGTGGACAATCATTTAATATATTTGTCAATTTCTGTACACTAAAAAAATGCTGGGATCCACAAAATTCCTTCATTTTGTACCAATACAAATTGATTAAGTTAACGTAATCATTTTTACAAACTTAAGTGGACTGCATATAAAACAATTAAGTTGTTAAAAAAAAAACTTGGGAGTTGTATTAACTCATGTTAAGTAAGGAGTTTGAACAAGCAGCAGAAGTATTTTTTTTTTAGTGTAATTATGTATATTTCCCCAATAAAAAAATCACCTTTGATGCACAATTAATTTACCCTAAAAATCACATATAACATGGAGAAAACAAAATTTGTTTTTGGTCAGGAAGTTCATTCACATCTACTTCAACACTCAAAAGGTGAACAACAAGCAACTGAAGAACAACTCTACCATAGGTTTTCTTTATGACATACATTAGCATAAGAAGCCCACCAGTTACTCAAAAAAGGAAATCTAGCGCCATCTGTTGTTTTTTGTATGCATAAACAGAAACCCTCAATACAGCCTGAAATCCAATTGTTTTACCTACAGCAAAAAAAAAACTAAATAAAAAATAGCTGATCAAACAAATTGAGACCTGCTATTATGCATCTCACTTAAGAAATAAAATAAAAGTTTAAAATAGGGTGTGTTTTTTTTATTACCTGTAGGGGGCGCTGGTTGAATAGTGACAGGTGGAGGTTTCACCACAGGCAGAACTGTGGCCTGAAGCGGCTGGATGATGATCTTGGTTTGAAGAGGGGCTGCCGGACGGGAGATGGGAACAGCTGTAATGATTGGTTTAGGCTGAATGGAAACCTTGGGGCACACCTGGATGGGTCTTTTTGCTGGTTGGAGAGGTTTGGCTGTGAGAACAAACGGACTGTTAAAAATCAACCATATTCCAAAAATTTGGATGTTGTTTAATTCAATAAAACATAAGCTCAAGCTTTTAGACTATTTCACTTACCTTTTGTCTGATTGGTCCTCTTAGATGGCTTCTTCTCATTAGGTGCCTCAGTAAATCCACTGGAGTCAGAGCAGACGGACAGCGGAGAGGGATGGGAACGCCACGAGTCTGGAGACAGTGCCTCATCCTAAAATCAATTTTGAAAACAATTAAAGAAAAGGGAAAAGTAATTGCGATATGTAAAACGTGTAGTGGAATGGTTAGTTAGGCCTCTAAAAGACAAGCCACCAATTAGCATGTTTAGTTTAAAAGTAAAAAAAAGTGTTAACACGTTTACAAGACTTTAAAGCTGACATCAATTTATTGGGTCAGGAAACAGAGTTTACAATGCATTTGATTTGCCATGAGAAAGCTTTTCTCACATATTGGACACTGCAAAAAGCTGACAGATGGACAAAGAACTGAGAGTGAAGATAAGCATGGGAATAATGGCATGCGAATGCAGATGGTTTTAAATATACATATCATTACTTCCTTTTCCAACATTAGGTGGTAATAAAATAAATAGGTCAAATCATAAAATAAAGCCATATAAAAGAAAAAAATACAGAGCACCAGTGTTACCACATATTTTTTTCTTTTCAACTTTAGCCACGTGCCATTATGCTTTTAACATATAAAATAAATAAATAGTCCAACACTTATAATACACAGAGACCCCTTTATTTAGATCTATTAATCAATCCGTCTTTTTGCTGAAAGCCTTGAATGCACATCCCAGGATGTTGAATCATTCAGTTAGATCAAAATGTATTCACAGTCAGAATATGGCTTGTTTAGTATGTTAAATATTATTATATTAATTTTAAATGTAGATAAAGAGGTGACACGGAGATAAGCGTTTTGTGAGATATAACGTGACAAAGTTTTTACTGAAATAAATTGTTTACATGCACAACAATGTGCTGTTAAATGTTATTACTATACATTTATAACTACAGCTAATGTTTAAACAACCCTAATAAACTGCATTAATGAATAAGCATCTTAGTGGTAATGTCAAAACATAACCATCCATGAATCCATCTGTTGAGCTGTGATGTTTTTAATACAGTTTTTAATTTAGAATGCCTCGGGTTTTTTTTAAGTCAGCAGAAAACTTGCTATATTGATCAGTATGTGCTTCAGCTGTTTATTAACGTAAACCAATGACATTACCATGATCACACACACAGATGGTTAAGCACAATTATTTTAAAACCATGACTGTAAAAGCACTTATTCAACAAGACGTGTTAACATTCAGTGCATGGTCTGAATACATGTACTTGAACTGTAAGCCACCAATAATTTTACTTCATAAAGGTTTAAAGTTAACAACAGGATATAATCATTAGGCTTTCTTTGTTCTTGGCTTCTTTTTGAGTCAACCTTGAAAGAGACGCTGTGTGATTTCTGCAAATACACCTTGAACTGTCAGCACGCATTACAAAATAGGACTAGACACATCTTTATGTCAGATGGATTCATTAGTTTGATGATGTGCTGAGAGATCATCAAGACATTTGTTAACACATTAAAGTCTTAATTAGACACCTAATTCACATGGGTGTATGGGTGTGTGTGTGTACTCTTGATCTCTGAACTACAGCAGCTGGCAGGACCAGCGCACCCCAAACACACTCCATCTGGGCATCTGACTGATGACGTCATTACATTAAAACACATAAAAAAAAACACCTTACATAAAAACTAAATTTCTGTATGTATAATATTTTATTTTATAGACCTATAAATTACAAAGTTAATTCAACCAAACATTTAGGGTGACATTTACTAACCCTCAAGCATATTCAAACCTTTCTTTGATTTGTATTTATTTTATTTTGTTTTATTTTATTTATTTTATTTTATTTATTTTGTTGTTGAACACAAAATAAGATATTTCAAAGAATGCTGGAAAACAAAAGCCTTTGGCATCTATAGTATTTTCATTCCCTCCCATGGACGACAATGGCTACTGGTTTCCAAAATTCTTCAAAATATCTTATTTTGCGTTCAATAGACAAAAGTTTGAGGGAGGGGACTTGAGGGAGAGTAAATAGTGAGTACATTTTCATTCCAGGTGGACTATCTCTTTTTTTAAATGAATGAATGAATGAATGAATAAATAAATAAATAAATAAGTAAATAAATAAAATGAACAAACGAATAAAAAATAATAATAATAATTGAATAAAATTTATAGGATTTTTTCTTCACCTTATGAATGTCAATATATTTAAAAAACCAGCACGTTAGTTTGACTGTGATTGTAAACAAAACCATTGGAAGTCAACTGACAAATCAGATGCAAACTTCCATGGATAGAAATGCTAAAGGTCTGTGTATATTTGTTTTGGGGTGGAGTTTAACTCACATGTGTGGAGTACGGTGACTGAGGCTCCACTGACGCTGGTGATGACACTGAACTGAATGTGTGGTTTGGTGACAGTGAGTCCACAGTTACATCCCCATCTGTGGAAGCAGTGTAAACAAGGATAGTATTAAAAACAATGAAATCGGATCCTTCACATGGACACAGCAACATAATACCCCCAATTCTGTTTAAAAAAGCTTTTGCACATTTTATTTTTGTGATATTTGAATAGTTTCTCTTCAAATCGCTGCCATAGGAAATTTACAACATTTGAAGAAAGTCTAAAACTGAAAACAAGTACCTGATCGAGGGCTGCTGGTTTCTCTCCATCCATCTGAGCTCCATGCTGGTTGCTCAGTGCCAAAGTTCAGGTCAGGAACAGATGTGTCCTAATGTAGGACAAATAAATTCAATTCAATTCATGTTTATTTATATAGTGCTTTTACAATGTAGATTATGTCAAAGCCACTTAACATAGAAGTTCTACTAAAGTCCAGATTTCAGAGTTGAAGTTCAGTTCGGTGTGTTGCAAATTTTAAATAAACAATGAGGATTATTTGCAGTTGTCTTTTCTTCCTTTTTATAATTTATAAATGTAAATTAAACTCTCAAATAAGGGAAAATTTGTAATGCTGACTTAAGTTTGTAAATCTAAAACCGATTTAATTGTTGTATTATTATTATTATTTAAAATTCAAACAAAAAATTATAAACCAAAATGTGAGCAATACATTAGCAATGGATGACAACAAAAAAAAAACTATAAAAACAAACATTAAGAATTGTATTAAATAAACAGACACCAAATTAAAATAAACATTTGTGTAAATAAATACAGGAATGCTAATAATTTTAAATATTGAAAAGTTTTACATACAAATAAAAACTTGACATGTTTAGGCCTCCTTTTTGCATTGTAATTAGTTAAAATCAAAAAGTAATTTTATCAACAACAAAAAAAAGTTCTTTAAGTACAGTTGAAGTCAAAATTATTACCCCAATTAGACTTTTTTTGTCTTTTTAAAATTTCCCTAATTATAATTAACAGATCAAGGACATTTTCACAGTATGTCTGATAATATTTTTCTTCAAGAGAAAGTCTTATTTGTTTTATTTCGGCTAGATTAAAAGCAGCTTTTATTTTTTGAAACCAAATTTAAAGTCAAAATTATTAGCCCCTTTAAGCTATATTATTTTAATAGTTTACAGAACAAACCATCATTATACAATGACTTGCCTAATTACCCTAACCTGACTAGTTAACCAAATTAACCTTGTAAAACCTTTAAATGTCACTTTAAGCTGTACAGACGTGTCTTAAAAATATCTAGTATGTTATGTTATTAGTATTTTAATGTTATTTAATTTCATCATGGCAAAGATAAAATAAATCAGTTATTAGACATGAGTTCAAAAGTTAATAAAATAATATAATTCTTTAAAAACATGAACACGTTTGTACAGATTGCCTTGACAGATGTTTGACTCACATAGCCTACACTTTTCACCAGCGCCTCCAGAAGCTCATCAGCATCTCCAAGATCCTCCAGCTCATCAAACAAACTGATGTCTAGAAATGTAAAAGATAATATGTGAACTAAACTTGACAGGAGCAAAGCTTAGTTACAGAGTAAGGCCCAAAAACAACGTTCTGAAACAAATCAAGTCAAAAAAAGTATCCATTTCATCATTTTCTTTCATGCAGGTTTGTGTCCAGCTCAAGCTGCCTGTAAACAATGAGGTGTAACACAGAACATTTGGTATGCATTTCAGTTTCTTTATGTTAACCTAAGCCTAAATTACACTTTTTTCTTCAAAAGACAGTCAGGGTGTATGAACTGAATGCATAATGTTACATAATAGCACAACTATACGCTTGTGTAAAAATGCAGTTGTAAAACGACAAGAAATAATTACATTTGAAGTCAAATTCGACTATCTTTATGGTTGTGAACAACATTTTAAATTGAAACTACCAAAACAACACTGCGGATGAATGAGACAGGTTCACCCATCTGTTTTGTGAAACTTACATCTACATTAGGTTGCTCTTTAGAGATTATTTTACATACGACTCCGCATTCTTGTTCATACCATAAGTATTTACAGTCTTTATTGCACTTGAAGACTCAGAAGACTCACGCTGTCATGGATTTATCTAGAACGTGTATCTTACCCCACTCTCCATCCTGGTCGATGGAAATATCTCCCACTTCCTTACTACTCATCGAAGGATTCATTAAATCTAACATTAAATTCGACGACATTGTGCCTTGAAAACATTAGTAACAGTAAAAGTGAGTCGAATGACGGACGCTAGTTACAGAGCTCTGCGTGTAGTAACAAACACTCTCGCTTTTCCCGATTCTGATGAAACTGCATAACAATAATGCACCAAGTACACGTCTTGTTTTACGGTAGTTCTACGGGTGCCGAAGTGGTTCAAATCATTACCTAAAACCTGCCTTGTTGTTCTTCATCTCTTCACCACACGGGGGGAGTAGACTGTCGGTTTTGCTCTAACTTAGGGAGTCATTTTGAAGAATCAGTTATTTTGTTGTAAAAAAAAAACGCTGATCAAAAAAGGATTGAACTGTTTTGACACATCAAATGTTTTTAACACACTAGTTTGGTGTATATATTTGCTTTGCAGTTTTCATTGCAGTCTTGCAAAGCTTATTTATAATCTAATTTTCATAGCTGTCTCTAAACATAACAGTTTTAATAACTCATTTCTAATAACTGATTTATTTTATCTTTGCCATTATGACAGTAAATAATATTTGACTAGATGTTTTTAAAGACACTTCTGTACAGCTTAAAGTGACATTTAAAGGCTTAACAAGGTCCAATAGGTTAACTGCAGGTTAGGGTTATTAGGAAAGTCATTGCATATCAATGGTTTGTTAAGGTCAAATAATTTTGACCTTAAAGAGATGTTTAAAAAATTAAAAACTGCTTTGATTCTGGCCGAAATAAACAAATAAGACTTTCACCAGAAGAAAAAATATTATCAGATTGTTATACTGTGAAAATTTCCTTGGTCTGTTAAACATAATTTTGGAAATATTAAAAAATAATAATAATTCAAAAGGGGGGCTAATAATTCTGACTTCAACTCGAACTTCACACAAACATCCACATTAACACATGCAGATAGCCTGCATGTAAACTCGCAGCATGTAAACACACCTACTTTTTTAATGTAAGAAAGAACTAAAACTGACTAACTAAAAGTATATTTTATTAAACCAGTTATTTTAAAAAAGAGATTTATTTTTATATCTAATATTTTATTATTCCAAACAAATATATATGCTAAAAAGGATTTGCATTAATTTACATTTATAGATATAAAATTTTGCTATATATATATTAGTGTAAACCCCAAAACAAGGTGTTTTGATTAAGTCTTAAACAAAGATTAAGATTATTGTGGATAATGAAAGCATTTTCAAAAAAGCACTTAATTCCAAAAAGATTGAACAAAAGGAAATTCCGAAAATAAATGAGCTACACTTTAAGTAGACGTTTCCCAGAAAGAGCAGGTACATCAATGTCACTTTTAAAACTTGTGCATAAGGATAGAGAGGAAATTTTTTTTTTTATAATCATATAAATTATTTTGGTGGCGCAGTAGGTTGTGCTGTCACCTCACAGCAAGAAGGTCAATGGTACGAGCTTCCACTGGGTCAGTTGACGTTTCTGTGTGGAGTTTGCATGTTCTCCCTGTGTTTGTGTGGGTTTCCTCCGGGTGCTCCGGTTTCCCCCTCAGTCCAAAGACATGTGGTACAGGTGAATTGGGTAGGCTAAATTTTTCGTAGTGTATGAGTGTGTCTGTGAATGAGTGTGTGTGGATGTTTCCCAGAGATGGGTTGCGGCAGGAAGGGCATCCTCTGCGTAAAAACGTGCTGGATAAGTTGGTGGTTCATTCTACTGTGGCGATGAAAAGTTATTGTTTGTTTTCAAATTTGTAAGACGAAATTTGTCCAATAATAAAAACAGATTTAGAGCACCGTAAGAGTTCACAAGACTGATTTCTCAAACAATAGGTGTTTGTTACTACATAAAGCCTAAAAGTAGTCAAATTAGATGCGCAGTTTGTATAGTCTGACCAAAAATAGCTAATCAGGTCAGAATACTCTAAATATTCGATCTGAAAATAGATGTAATTTAAATAAATTCATACACTGAAGTATTACATAAAAAGTTTACCCCCCCAACCCCCAAACCCCCCTATTGTCAATGTATAATTCGCATACTGAATATAAACTGGATGCGTGCATGCATAAACACCCAAATTACACCCAACACCCAAATAATTAAAAAAATATGAGGTGACATTCTTGATCAGTTGACTTTAATGTCATAGGCTCTTTCTTCCATCTACTTTCACAGGTTTCCATAAATTGATTGCAACGTTTTGCTGAATAGCCTAGCCTAAGTAAGGAATTAATAATCTTAATGAGCATATGAATTGCATCACTGCAGTCAATTACAGAAAGATGCTATTTCTGATAGCGTTGAATATAGACATCTATTTACTGCTTGCAAGATGACACTTTGGCATTTGGCTATGTGCTTGCTACACAACCTTGGTCACTCGATATCATATTCAAAGCATCAGTGTGGGATAAGAGCAAGATCTGTTACTAATTATTTAACAGATCTGTTCATCAGCAAGAATAAATGTAATTCTTTGTGACAATAAAGTAAAGTATAGATCAATTACCAGGCGCAGCTACTAAGTATGATTTTAAAGTAAACACAATGAACCAATTAAAACATCAGATAACAAAATCCAGCGAAAAAATAGAGCTGTTTTGTAAATCCAACTGGCAGAGCTTTACACTCTTTAAAAAAAAAGATACAAAAAGCATGTCTTCAAAGATCTTAAAAGAATCATTTGTATTGCATTTTAAAGTCTGTTTTGTTCAATGAAAAGGTGGATGTTAAATGCTTATTTATAGAAATGGGGATGCCAATACAGAGCCTTTGTTTTTTAAGAGTGCATAGAACAGGTTGCTTATTTAAGGTACTAAATAAATGTCAGACCAGCAGGTCGCATTGGCTGCTTTGAAGATTTGGAGCAGGTGTTCATAGCTATAATCTTGTTGGTTTTCCTAGGACGTTGTCAGCTTAACCTGAGGTGGTCTACAACAATGTCTGCTGGGTCTGAACCTCATTCCCACTTTATCCATGGAACATTTTTTTTTTTTAAACCTAACGTTTGTGTATGTACCTGCTGATTTATTTAAAATTCAATTTCACTGAAGCTGTGAGTGAACAAAATGAAACAAAACATGATTGTGTAACAAGTTTGATTAAAACAATATTTGAATATAGATGAGGTTTACACATTAAGCACTGTGAATATCATCCATTCTGAGTGTTTTAAGACAAAAGCATACAATTAGATAAACTCATTTGTGTGAGAGGTCTGTGAGGCTTTTTATTTTTATTTTAGCCAATCGTAAACCAGTATGGTCCATTCAGGTTAATTGTGTATAAACCCACCAGCCCCCTCACACTAACAGTCTGAGGATTAACAGGTTAATGTAACACACGCCAAGAACATCCATTTGGAAAGGATTAAAGCACCATGCCTTTATGTTGCCACTAAATATGTTAGCTCAAAACATGCTTAGATAGGTTTTAATACAAGTAGCAATAAAAAAGAGAGAAAAAGTGACTTCAATTCAAACAAAACTTAGCTTGAAAGTTCTTGTCAGTTCTCATGTTTGCCCTATAAGAAGAAAAACAGCCGGTAATACAATTAGCAGTACTTTATTTGGTACACCTTACTAATACCAGTCAAACCCCCGTTAGCCTTCAGAACAGATTCAATACAGTACTGGAAATATTCCTCAGAAGTTTTGGACCATATTGACATGATAGCATCACGCAGTTGCTACAGATTTGTCAGCTGCATATCCAGGCGCGAATCTCCCTTTCCACCACATCCCAAAGGTGCTCAATTGGATTGGTGATTGTGTAGGCCATTTGAGCACAGTAAACAAATTGTCATGCTCAGGAAACCAGTCGGAGATGATTCACGCTTTATGACATGGCGAGTTATCCTGCTGGAAGTAGCCATCAGAAGATGGGTACACTGTGGTCAAAAAGGGATGGACATGGTCAACAACAATACTCATATAGGCTGTGCCGTTGACAAGATGCTCAATTGGTACTAATGGGCCCAAAATGTGCCAAGAAAACACCATTACACCACCAGCAGCAGCCTGAACCGTTGATACAAGGCTGGATGAATCGATGCTTTGATGTTGTTGACACCAAATTCTGACCCTACCATCCGAATGTCGCAGCAGAAATCGAGACTCATCTGACCAGGCAAGGTTTTTCCAATCTTTTAGTGTCCAATTTTGGTGAGCCTGTGCAAATTGTAGCCTCAGTTTCCTGTTCTTAGCTGACATGAGTGGCACCCGCTGTGGTCTTCTGCTGCTGTAGCCCATCCGCCTCAAGGTTGAACGTGCTGTGCATTCAGGGATGCTCTTCTGCATACCTCGGTTGTACAAGTGGTTATTTGAGTTACTGTTGCTTTCTTTTAGCTGGAACCAGTCTGGTTATTCTCCTCTGACCTCTGGCATCAATAAGGCATTTGCGCCTCCAAACTGCCGCTCACTGAATATTATCTCTTTTTCGGAGCATTCTCTGTAAACCCTAGAGATGATTGTCCGTGAAAGTCCCAGTAGATCAGCAGTTTCTAAAATACTCAGACCAGCCCGTCTAGCACCACCAACCATGCCACATTCAAAGTTACCTAAATCACCTTTCTTTCTCATTCTGATGCTCGGTTTGAACTGCAGCAGATCATCTTGACCGTGGCTGCATGAATAAATGCATTGAGTCGCTGCCATGTGATTGGCTGATAAGAGATTTGCAGTTACAAGCAGTTAGTTTGGTGTACCTAATAAAGTGGCCAGTGAGTGTAGTACAACTGTAGAAGGAAAAACAGGTAAAGAGCACAGTATAATTTTGAGGAATGAAGGATTTCCTTGTCATCAAAACTCCATAAAATCGCCCCCACTGCTTGTTTTCTGTGCTCCATTTGCACTTGCATCTCTGTGGGTGTTTTCGCTCATGCAGCAGTCATCAAGAGAAAGCAGGGGAAAATATGTAGATTCATAGTAGAAGAGAGTAAGCAAACACGCATTTCACAAACACAGCCTTCTGCTCGCTTCATCTTTTGTTTGTGTGATGGATGCCTTCTGAGATTGATGGTGTTGAACACAGTTGTTGAGCATTG